TGTTGACAATGAATATCTGAAATAAGTAAAAAAAAACCTTTATAACTTAGGTACAAGGCATGAAAGATACCCATGATAAGGATACATTTTTAATTAAATTGGAAAGATACCAGGTAAATACAAAAAACATTATTTCGGTAATCTGTTCTCTACTTGAAGAAATGTCATGTTTATTTCATATGTTCTTTTTTCCAGAATTTTATTTTATCCACAATCTCTGCTCTCTGTAGATTCCATCATTTCTGTTCATGGTTTTACTTGCAAATGCTTGAGTTTGAGCTGATGATCTTCTATAAAAGCAGCCTTCTGAATTTCAGCAAGTCCTATTTTTGTAGCACTCCATATTATCAACTTGCTGTTCAGGGGCTTTCTGTTCTTCTTGGAAGTGGAGCCATTCTCTACAATGAGAATATAGATGTAAAGTAACAAGGGATTAGTAACAGAGATTAACAATAAATGTGCAAGAGTAGGTATATTTTACACACCTTTGTCATTACTGGACCCTTTACTGGTACCTACCTTCCAGCTATGAGTGGTGATGAAATTTGTTTTTTGAACATATCAGGGGTGTACATAGACCAGACCATATCTAATTTTTGCCTGAGATATATGTGGTCACACTGGAAGACATGTAGTTATGTTTCAATAATAATGGAGCTAAAATAAGAATAAAGACAAAGGAAACATAGACACATGCAAGAATCCTGAAATTGTTCAGGAGATGGAATGTTTGATAAAGTACCTAGTGTAGTGTATAACAAACTTGTAAAAGAAGGGCAGTGGAGATATGTTTATAACAAATGATGGAATAAACATGGGCCAAAAATCTTCATCAATTTTCAGTGATATGAAAATAAACACCCAGGAAAATGCTGCATTTTTTGGGATTCTCCCTCCATATTTATATCCAAAAAGTTAATTGTTCATATGATCTAGTAATTTTTCATAACATTCTTCAACTGATTGAATCAGCAACTGAAAAGAATATGATTCATATTATGTTTCTTTTTTACTCTCACATTTCATAGGAACAGTACCTTCTGCTGTTCTAGTGAATTCAGGCAGAGAACACAATAATATTTCAAATGTTCATTCATCTATAAAATGTAAAACCATAACTCCATGATTTATGACATTATGAGTTATGTTATGAGTCGAACCACGTCGAACTTTTGAATTGAAGGGAGGAAGGTGAAGGGTGAAGCGCACATAAAGATAAGGGGGGTGGGGATCAGATGTGATAACAAGGGGAAAGAGCAAAATATATTCCGTCTCCCAATTGGTCACATGAATCACATGATATCGTAAACACGAACGTTGCACGCATGTGCGAGCTCATAGAAATTATACAAATACACTTGGCAACACAGCAGACCCAGAAAAAATTATCACATTTTTATATGCAGCACAGAAGGGACATGGGAGATATTTTTTTAAAATTATTCTTCACATTTTTATAACAGCACTGGAGGGACATGAAGAAATATAATTTTGTTTTTATCTCATTATAATGAGATAGCTAACTCATTATATTGAGATAAAAAAATATCTCCCTCATTTTTATGCTAAGAAAATGTAGGAGATATTTTTTTAAAAAATATCTCACCATGGCCCTTCAGAGCTTTCGTAGATTTCCGAACAAAATTAGATGAAATAAAAAATAAATTCTCAATATACAAAAATAGATAGGTAAGGATTTTCACAAAATTTTGGGATGTATCATTAAATGTGGCAGTAGATATCAATGAAATGAACGTCAATGTTTCATTTGTCCAATATTTTGACACGTGTGTATAAGTTCAGAGTAAGTGTGAATTGTGTGTTGAGCATATACAGTGTGTCCCACTTAGCATGCTCACCATGGGTATCTTTCAAACGGTGAGAGATACGAGGTCGGTTAAATGACACCAAATGTGGAGTTTGTCAGGGCCAACTATAATGTAACTCCTCCGTAACTTCTTTATTTATGAAAATATTCAAATAGTAATTTCACATTCTCATGGCAGTTTTTCAAAGTGATTTCGAAAAAAATATGAAATTTTTACCAACTCTTCTAGAATTTGAGATATCAGCACCAACTTTAGTTTTTCAAAAACAGAAACAACTAGCAACTTTGTTATTTCGAATGGAACACCCTGTATTTTATTGCATTTTTATATTCCTCCTGAAGAGATGATTTCTTCAATGTATCACACTTGTGGTCGAGCAGGAATGATTACAGAGATATAGAGGGTGTTCAAAATCGAGATTTTTCAATTTTAGGATTTTTTTGTGTCGAAACTATTCATTATCGATCGAAACGGCTTACATGTCCCTATCTCAACTTTCGATTCACTATCTTCTGGAATTTAATTGAAAAAAATACAGGGTGCTTCAAGATTCAGAATTCTGATCACCCTGTATCTGTTCCAATTAAATGTCAGTAGATAGTGAATCAAAAGTTAAGACATGGACATGCAAGTCTTTTTGATCGATAATGAATAGTTTCGACACAAAAAAATCCTAAAATTTATAAATTTCGATTTTGAACACCCTATATCTCTGTACTCATTCCTGCTAGACCCTAAGTGTGATGCACTGATGAAATCAGCTCTTCAAGAAGAATCTAAAAATGCCATAAAATACTGGGTGTTCCATTTGAAATAACGAAGTTGCTAGTTGTTTCTGATAGAAGTGGCAACACTGTATCGATGAAAATATTTTAGACGGATAGATAATGTTCAATTATCAGAGCATCTCCATTTTCAGAATGTTCTGTTTTCTCGTTCTCCGGATACTGCTAATAGGCCATCTACCGTGGATCACCCTGTATATATTTATTGATAAGTTATATAAGTACCTAATAGGTACATAGTTACATCATACATCTAAACAAGGAAAAGAAACATTTGTTTTTCAACATCCTGCAAATTCGATCATTATTTAGGCGATTTCGATGTTTTCTTATTGTTAAAGCAGCACGTGAGAATAATCTTTCCGCCGGGACTGAAGAAGCCGGTATGCTTAAGAGATCTCGTGTCATCAAACTTAGAATGGGAAATTCAGAAGCATGAATATTCCACCATTGCAATATATCTGTGTTTCCATAACACCGAGGCACAGAATAATATCTTTGAAGCTCCTGCATCTCTACTCCCGTCAAAACGAAGTTATTCTTTATCTTAGACTATTTAGCACAGAATGACTTATTTATAGATTTTCAGGTAGTCATTCAATTTGCGATCTGTCGTTATTGGAGAATTGCCTTTATTTTCCGCCGCCATAAGAGATCATGGATTGTGTTTTTAAAGTATTTATGAATGCAATGTTTTGTCTATCTGTGCTAAATAGTCTGAATTCTTTCTAAATAATGTTGTATATTATGAATGAAATTCTCAAGTTTGCAGTCGGCACGCAGAAATATTTACCTGCGAGACTCTCGCACGAGACACGAGAAGTCTTGCACGAGACTCGAGACGAGACCAATGAAAGTCTCGTCTCGTCTTTTCCGAGTCTCGTCTCGAGTCTTGTCTCGAAAACGAAACGAGACCATGCGAGACTCTCGAAAACGGGACTCTCGCGGGCACCACTATTGCCTTCACAGTATTATTTTAGACCAATCACTTAAAAATAAAGAGAGAAATCCTAATCACAAGAATTATTTGATGAACTGTATGATATTGATGTACTGAATATGTTCACTTAACTATGTTAACTATGTTCAAAGTCACATTATCTACCACTTCCTTCCAGATATATGTCGGTGAATCGAACACCGTCTGTGTATATTTTGCAACTATTTCATTAAGATACTTTTGTGATTTTCAAATATATAAACTTGTATTTTTCACCGTTTTCGAGATATTCGAAGTAGAACTTCACATTTTCTCCAGACTTTCTGAGATGATTAGGTACGTCATTTTGAGTGATCCAATGAAACGACCCATCCAAATGAGTTTTCTTTCTTACGTCGATATTATTTTTGCAAGGGGACGGGGATTTTTTGTGGAATTGTGTTCTCAATTCCCATTCCCTTCGAATTATTTTTGTAGGTTAGCAGGTAGGTTAATCTGATTTTTGGAATTATGGTATCTTGTAGAAGAAAGGAATCATGAGTTCGTAGGGAAAATATAGTTATGTAACGCATTTATAAACTCTTCTAGACACTTGTTTATTGAACATTCGCTCCGCTCTGCTGCGCTCGTGCTTGAAATACTCGTTACTAAAAGGACGTTCATAACACTTGTTACATAGATGGATTTCGAGATCGAATTACTCATGGATCCCGCATAGATCAATTTTTACTCGTTACTCGTTAGAGCAATATGTGATTCACATTGTGTGGATAGTTCTGGATAATGTGAAAGTGTCCGGATAAAACACCTCAAATTGGAGTACATCTAGGATGATATAAAATTTATTGTGAGAGTTGATGAAGAAAAACATATTTCTTACAAAAATATGACAATAGGACCAAATATGCCTCAATAAAATATTCATGCTGTGGAATATGATACAGGGCGTTTCAATCGAGGAAGTTTTTACTATAAACTCGCACCAAAATGTATTCACTGACAAGAAATGTAATTCACCAGCAACAATTATCTGACAGTCCAGGGCACACTCTTCATAACGTTGAAATGATGTTTAGGACACATTTTCTAATTGAAATCGCTCAGAAGTTTCGTCAAACAAAGTTATCAGTCGATTTCATCATCAGGAATCATTCACATGGCGCCCCCGGTAACAAACTGTATAATGATAGGTACATAAAATAATATTCCTTGAATAGAATTATGCATTTGTGCCGATTTTGATAATAATCGATGAATATAAGTGAAATTGTTAGCAAAGAACGAAAAAAAAAAAACTTTAACGCCCCGTATCTTTTTCCACAGCAATATTATATCAAGACATATTCGGCCCTATCGCCATATGTCCCAATAGTGACTCACCCTGTATATAGTATAATAAACTGATAGCAAATCCTAAGTATACATAAGCTGTCGATTTTTTTTCAGAAATTCCAAATCTCAACTTTTGGGAAGATACCTGCGTACATATTTTGAATGAATTGCGTACCGATTTCGAATCTATTTCGGAACATCAATTCTCCATAACTCAACATAACTTCTCTCCTGATTCTTCCAAGAAAACATCTGCAGAATGGAAAACTATATGTCTCTTCTTTTATCTGATGAATCTATTAAGAGTAGAAATAGAAAAATCGGAAGATGTACTCTTGAGCGTCCAAGAAACAAGAGATGTGAAACATTGTTTGAACTATATTACTAAGATTGGAATATGCACGAAACTTCAACCGAAGTTGCCATTTTTCGTTGAAATCCAGAGTGTCAAAGAAGAAAATGAAAATGAAGATATTTTCTGGAATTACAACGTATTGAAATGCACGACTAATGGATTATGCGAATTATTGAAAGTACCAAGTATGAGAATACTAGTATTACCCGAGTGTTTGAAATTCATTTTAGTGGCAGTATACCAAATTTCTTACTGCCCTTTGAAAAAACCCGACGTTGACGCAAATAACGTGATATCTGAACCTATCTATAACCTTTTGGTACAGGAAAAAGAACGATTCATCAAACTAATGGAATATTTGAAACGGTCCATTCATCCCCGAATATTTGCCAAGCAAAACATGATTATTTTGCAAGAAAATTCCCCGAAGTGGTTCAAAAAATCAGTTTCTCAGACCCTCACTGATATAATTCGGTCAAATAATGGTGTAGAGATCATCGCGGTTTCTCTCATTGGTGATTGCGATTATGATAGTGCTCAAACGTGGAAGATTCTAGATGTACTAACGAGACTGATACTGAGCTGCCAAGTTTTTCCTGATTTCGAAAACAACATCTGCAAACAAGTCATCAAATTGTTAGACAAAACTAATGAGGAAACATTAATTTTTGAGCGAGTATTTTGTTATTGCACAAAATCAATCTACCAAATTGATCCAGAACTTTGCAAAGAACATTTTGTGAGAGCTTCTGTCAGTTATTTACTGTATTTCACTTACAAGGGACACATATTTCAAGATGGAGAAGACATAACACAGAAAATTGAACAAACCATCAGGATAATCCATACTATTTTTATTGAAAATTCGCTGGACAATCATCAAGCTTTGCCACTTGAAATTTTGAAACCTATGATGGGCGTGATTTTTAGATTTTTCGTTCTTACATCAAACTCCTCGTTCAAATCTACTAACAATAATCTGCAAGCTATAACTATTGCTTATTTATTGAAATTTCCTGATGAATTCCTTCAATTAATCGATAATTTTCTGTTTGGCATTGATACAAAGGAAATCTTACCCTTTAGAAATGATTTAATCCTAGAAGCGAACAAGGCCAAAATCATTATTAAATTGGCTGATTACTCCATAACATATTCATCACTTGATAATTCGGAATGTCTGTTGAAACTGTTGAAACCAAATTCGAAACTTTTGGTGAGGTTTTTCGGGTTTCTTTTGAATACCCTGACGAATAAAGAGAAGTACTTTATTAAAAAGAACGACGACCTCCTTCAACTAGAATCTGATGCTATTATGAACGAATTCTTCGAAAGAAATATAACAGTATACAAACTGTTATCGGAGATGGCAGAGGAAAAAACAATACAAGAGCAACTGAGTGAGGAGCCTGGAGATATCATTGAATATATAAGAAATGTTTTGAGGAGAACACTGGAATTGTCTACACACCAAACTGAAGATCCTGATGCTCAAGAGTTCCAGTCATTATTCACTGTTATCATAATTTTGCAAAATCTTATTGCACGTTCCCGTAAGAGCGATTTGAAGCAGTACGATTGTTTGATAACAGATTTAACTGTGATTTCGAGAGAGACTGGTAATGTGGAGATGAGAAACATCATCGAAAAAATATTGGGAAACATGGAAAGAAGTGTTAGTGGACCTTCCCCAATGCTCCATGAGAGAGACGTTAAAACTGATCTTGACAAAGCGATAGAAGACATTTGCGACCCTTTGTTGCCCACAAGAGGTCATGGATTGCTCTCTCTCAAGAAGTTGTTAGAAAATAAGGATAAACAGGCGATGGATAGGAAGCAATATATTTTGAATCTTCTCCAGGTGAGCTTCCATGAGTTTTCAGCTTTCTTTGAGGATCTTGAGACCCTTTCATGAAGAATCAATGAAGAATAACATACTTCCTGAAATAGGTCGATTTTGTTTTGACTGAAATTGTTTTTGAAATATCCCAGGCAGCCAGATGACGTTTCAGTGACGTCTTTTAACGTCTCTCCGGTGTCATGTCCATTCAATCGTCTATCCAGCAGCGCTATCCCTCAGTACGCATCTCCATCAGCGCTATCCCTCAGTAAGCATCTCCATCAGAATGAAATCAGTAACTCGTATTTTTATCAAAAATTATGTAGTTTGTGTCGGCGAGATGTAAGAAAACCAACAATAGTTTGAGAGCAATCAAAAGGATTTTGGCGAATTTAGCTTCACTTTGTTGAGTAACGTATATTCATGCATTATTTGTCACCCAACAAAAATCTAAATAGCAAATTATTGAAGAATTTTCTGAATGACGAAGCTCACCAAATTGTTACGTCACACCGACGTGATTTTTAGACGTCATAGATACGTCACTGCAACGTCATTGCACGGTTTCAATATAGGTACACCTATATTATCATTTGTATATATATATATATACATATATAGCTTGATTGGTTTTCAAGATATACAGGGTGTCAAAGTTTAAAAAAGTTTTCTCTCACTTTTTGGGTATATAGAGTTCCAATAAAACTTGCATGTAGTTATACTTCTATCGACGTTAGAAGCATGAATATAAAATTACCAAGACGTACAAGTTTGTGTGTAAAATTAATGAAAAAACGATTTTTTCTGGAAACTTTTCGACACTGGAAATGCCCATCCTATATATTTGTAAATGTAAGTATACATGGTTTAGATATGGTCTGGGAAACATGAACGTCGACAGGACGTCCCTGCAACGTCATGAAACTGACGTCTTATTTTACCCTTCTAAGTGACGTTCACTCGACGTCGAGATGATGACGTGATTCTCACGTCATAGAAAGTACGTCATAGTGACGTCCTGAATTGGTTTGTGACGTCTCTGACGAAAAATCACCAATTAGGGACGTCACAGTGACGTGATCATTCGTCATATGGTTGCCTGGGATTAATCTGATATACAGGATGATATACCTTTGGGTTTTTCCAATTTCACACTATATCATTCTCAATAAGTGAATATTCGATTCGAGTATAATCAATATACGGGTGAGTCATGAGGAACTGTACATACTCCTAACACGAATAGAGGCCCCTGAGGGGAATACCGAATGTCCATCAGAAAGTGTCTCCTTCACTTCTTTTCCAATATATATAGGGTGCATTATGAGATTTGGCAAAAATATCTTTTGGTCATAACTTTTCGTATTCAGAATCGGGGAAATACAGGACCGTTCTTGAAAAATGGAACACCACATATTATTTTTTTTTCAGGCCTGGATTTACTATTTCAATTTTTTTGTGGAGGATAATAATCACCCTGTAGATCTTTCTCGAATCAGTGGATGGGGTATCTATGAAAATTTTGATGGCCATCGCTATAAATAATTTTATGATTCCAATTCACAATTTTATTTTTTCGATTCGTTTTATTTACTTAATTTGTGACTTATTTTCCGTACTAGAATTATTATAAGCCTTTGTCAGTATAGCTTTTGAGAAATAATTGTGAATAAACCTTAATTTTCTGCTCGAGTATTTTAACATCTAAACAGATACCCCATCCACTGATTTGAGAAAGATCTACATATTGATTTCCATTGGGATAAGGCATTGAAAATGTCCGTCTTACTTTTATTTGTGTTTATGCGTTGCGAAGTAATTATTTTCGAATGAATAAATTTGTTGTCAAACTTTCGGTTTTGCTTATGATACATTGTTTTTTGAAAAATGTTGTGAAAGTGTGAGGAGAATTTCGAATATCTTATTTTTGATGCTTGTTTGTGTGCTTTGAAAATTCCCTGTCACATCAGTTTACAAAAACCATATACAGGATGAATTTTGATAAAAACTAAACCGTTCTGGATTTTTTCTAATCTGGAAATGCCAGTCGATCAGGGCTTAGTAGAGCAATATTCCATGAAAAAATCAGATAAATCGAAGAAGTTGTTTTCAAAAATTATGCTTAAAAGATATTTTTGCCAAATGTCATAATTCACCCTATGTATTGGTAAAGAGGGGAAGAAGGCACTTTCTGATGGTCATTAGGTGTTACCCTCAAGGGCCCCTAATCGTGGTAGGGGTATGTACATTTCCTCATGACTCACCCTGTATAGGTATAGATCAGCATTGATGCTCTGCAATATCGAAACTCCTTCGTTTACCTTCATGAGTTATGAATAAATAAGTGCGGAAAAATTTAGTGAGTGATTCCATGTCATATTTCATGAAAAAAAAACCCTTCAAAATGAGCTAATGAGTTAATGAGCAACGATGTTTCAGCAAAATCTGAAAAACGACGACTCTTTCATTTATCTAAATGCCATTGGGTGCCTAGCTGCTTTAGCTGACATTTTTCCTGATACCATACTGAACATTTTATGTGAGGAGTATTCGGACCCGTCTAGAACAAGCACTGAAGGTGGTCACGAAATCAAGATGAAACTTGGTGAATGTTTGGTGAGAGTGACAAGACAATTGGGTAAGTGTGATCTTGATATAAGTGGGTATAGTTCCTCTTTAGATTTTTGGAGTGATCAACCAGTGAAAATCCGTTGAGCATCAAGATGATTATCGTGAACTATAATTCATTTATTTTATTCTAATGAATTCAGATCAGATAGGCAATTCAGCTCTAATGTCTGTCTAATTAAAATACCAGCCTGTCGTGTGAAACCAACAATTTTTTATAATCTGTTCACTGAATCTGATTCATCGGGCAAGCAATTTGTCAGTTGAATTATACATTTTAACTGTTTCTTCTCTTGTACGAACTGTTGATTAATTTGCATTTTTTCTCGTGTGAGAATGAATTGCATTCGAATATATTCTTGACTTGATATGACACGGAAAATTATCTCTTAATTACTTTAATTTCATTATATTGTTGTAGGATCAGGTATGTTATTTGAAATGTAAGATTTATAGTTATGTCTTTGTAGGAGATGCATTAGTAAATATATCTTTGGTGGTTGAAAGAGAAATGTGCGAACTATAATAATTGTTCTAATGCAATTTAAATATACGAAATAAATGGGGTGAATAGAAACAAAAGTATATATGGAGCATTTGTTGAAAAAAATCACAAATTACTCTAGTTCAATTCTAGAAACTTCAAATCTTATCTTGTTGACGCATTGCATATGTGACAACATGAATTCATCGAATTTCACTGATTTTCTATTGGCAACACTGTTTTTCCGTTATTTTAGTCGAACATATGATTGTGACACCTGTACATTGCTGAATAAACTTTATGTAATAAGGTGAATCAAGATATAATAAAGAAAATTGGTCCAGACATACCTTAATATATCTCATTAACATAATTGCATTCAAAATTCTAATATATTGAGTAGTTTTCATCACGTGTATTTTTTAAACAACTAACATATCTTTTTCTGTGTGTATTTGCTGGCTGTTTCAATTGACCTGCTGTTCCTATTCACCCCATTTTTATGGTATATTTCTTATTTTCTCAGAATTTGAGCTGTCCACAAATTCAATTAAGCGGGAATAGGAAATCGCCAAATTTCAATTATTTGAGAAAGAAACTGTGAAATGTTTCGAAACTCTATTACATGCCTTCTCTTCTAATAACCGTGATAAGTACACACTTTCCATATTTTCCTCAATAAAAAATGTGAATATCAATCTGAAAAGCAAGGGCGGACTGGGTTGAAAAAAGCTATAGTGCTTTGTGGATCAAAGGGCACAAAATGAAATAATTATCTCAGTGTTCATACGGAGGCGTAGAAGTGCACCATTTTTTTAATTCCGAATCTCAACTCGGATTTGGCCCAATATTGGAATATTGCATAAAAAATTAAAGACAACCCCGATCATTGATATATGATATTATTTCCTTCTCGAATAAACGGATACATTCTCACTATCTAAAAAAATACCTATTCAATATATTCATCTTCTGCATGTATTCCTCTAAATATGGGCTTTTGAAACGATTCGAAATGAACAGAGTTTCATCGATTTTGAATGGTGTTTGAGAGTATAGGCCATGACAATGATAACAATTTTATTTTTTACTGATCAGATTTGCAATCATCCTTATTATTTTCTTTCAAAAATCGTTCAAAAATCGATCAAACTCTGTTAGTCTTGGATACTCATGAATTGAAAAATATGGAAGATGATTATATTGAATGATGTGTTTTAAGGAAGCTCTTCGAAAGGTCTTTCCGATGGTAAGGAAATATACAGTGTTCCATCAACGATTTAATAGAGACATTATTGCAATTTCTCAAACAGTAAGAGATAGAAATTCAATATGACGTTATGCACATTCGAAGAATGTCAGCCGTTCCTGAAATATTTTGGAAATACTGAAAATCATTGATTTCGTTTTCATTTATTTTCTTGATTAATATTTGAGAAAAAATACGAAAATTCTGGCGAAATTTCTGGCCTTCGTGAGGTGCGATAGCGGCGCGTTTTTTCTTTCGTTGCTTTCTTAGATTCTTAGTATACCAGGAGCAGGGGTGCCACTGGGCAAAGGCGCGGAGGGCTTCGCCCTCCCGCCCTTCGGGCCAGCCCGCCCCTGCTGAAAAGTCGAAAACTGTTTCCATATATTGACCCCATTCTACGGTATCTCGATCAGCACACCCCTACTGTGGAAGTGAATTCTTATTCCTATGTGGAATTCGAATAAAGATTTAATTTCTTTGGTGCTTATCGGTGTATATACATAATGATGTCATCGAGAGCTTTTTTGAGATGTGATGATTTTTATTGCTGATCAAAATATTCGAAAGGCTTCAAATAATGAAGTACTATATCAAATACTATCAATAAATGGAACGATCAATATAAGATTGATATGATTGTACAAGCTGACTGAATGAATAATTCGGTATCATGCATTTTCTGAATATTTAATTTTAATATTTCGATCTGCTGAATCACTAATATTATAATTGTATTGAACATTTAATCCATGTATGGAAAATCTCACAAGCCGCGTGATTTTGTCATTACGACAGCAAAAAAAAATTGCCCTAACTTTTCCAGCGACAATAACGGAACCTAACTTTTGAAAGCATGACAACCTGCCTTGACCAAATGTTTGATGAATTTAATTGTCTAACCGAATTACACTCTATCTTTTTTTTGTCTGAGTGAACTTGGCATTCATCATTCGAATTTTGTTGCCATAAGGTAATTCGACTCTAAAAACCGCCAGAAAAAATTACTCGTCCTACGGAACATCGTGATATTACTTGAAATATTTTAACATTTGGAAATTTCATTCCACTTCTCCTCACATATATATTCGCTCTGTGTTGCTGTGTTGGGATCTACACGAATAAAATATTATTTTCACTCTTAACCTATCAAGCGAGGTCCAAAGTGTGATAAAATAGTATATTATACACCTAGGGTGAGAAGTGAGCTATTATATAGCAAGCACTTTTATATCCTGAGGCGCGAAGCGCCGAAGGATATAATGTGCGAGCTATATAATAGCGTTCTCTCCCGAAGTGTATATAATATTTTTTCCACTACTAACACTGAAATATCAACATATTTTATCATCCAGATTTTCATTTTCACTGAAGGAGGGAGCTATGCCATTTACCGTGTTTATCAAGCATATTACTAAAATGTCGATATATATCAAGTAGCCTGGGAGTCCAGTGGTCAAACAAACTAAAATGAAATTTGACTTGGCTGTCAGAAACTAGATGCTGAAGGTATAAAATTCCAAGTGAAATTTCGAATATAAACTAAAAATGAGTGATAATTATTCAAGTGACACTGATATGGAAGCATGTACCCCGCCCGAAGTTAGGAAAGCGGCAATTGATGCAAGTGGCGATTTGTTGCCATCCAACTCGAAGCGTTTGTATATGAATGCATATAGCAAATTGAAAATTTGGTGTGAAAGCAAAAAAATAGTTAAATTATCAGAAAATGTTTTATTGGCATATTTCCAAGAGAAAGCTAATAATAATAAAATATCCACATTGTGGAGCAACTATTCGATGCTCAAGACAACGTTATCAATAAAAGAAAATATCGACATATCAAGATTCTTCAAGCTCACGGCATTTTTGAAGCAGAAGAATAGTTCCTATAAACCAAAGAAATCTAAAGTATTTTCGAAAGGAGAAATCGATAGATTTATTAAAGAGGCACCTGATAATGAATTTTTATCGAAGAAGGTAGTATAGATATTTTACTCACAACTTTATGACTAGTTTTCTACAAGAATTGATATTTTAGGCTATTTTGGTAGTTGGTGTAGCTGGAGCTTGCAGGACAGACGAACTTTGTAAGATGGTTCTGGATGATGTAAACGTTCGAGAGGATATTATTATTATCAATATTCCTAATACCAAGAATGGAACATCTAGAAAATTTGTCATTGTTGAGCCAGAATGGAGTAATGTACTCAAAAAATACTTAGCTAACAGGCCAACTGATATTAAAAAATTATTTATATCATACCGTAAAGGTAAACATGCCAGACAAAATATTGGGCATAATACTATCAGTAAAGTACCTTATGCAGTTGCTCAATATTTGAGATTAGAAAGTCCTGAATGTTATACCGGTCATTCTCTGAGGCGTAGCTCGGCCACACTTTTGGCAGAAAATGGTGGAGACTTACTAAGTCTAAAAAGGCATGGTGGATGGAAGTCAGCTACTGTCGCAGAAGGATATATTGCGGAGTCAATAGCGGACAAAAAAAGAATTGCCAATTTAGTGCAAAAAGAAAATCAAGCCTCATTTGATGAACATCAAAATTTACCTTCAACTTCCTTTGCTCAACGCGATAATTTCCTAGAAGAAAACTTCCATGCTGATGATTTTCATTGTGAGCCAAGTCACGATGAATATTATCAAAATACAACAACTATCCATAATTCTGAGGTTAACTTACGTACCTGTCAATAATATCAATTCAATCAATACAAAAAATGCAGGAATTCACATGATATGCCACAATTGTACCATCAACTATAATTTCAAATAGACAATCCATAGGTAGATAGGTATATCGATATCATATTAATAAGTACATTTTTGTATAATGATTAATAAGTAAGTACCTACCTGCAGGCCTAATTATAATATCTAGGATTTAGGAAGTAAACTTTATGATGTTGATATTTCATGATGTAGAGGTAGGTATAGGTTTAGATAATCCTAGTGTTCTTTATCCTTGCTGTTTCAGAATTAACTAATATCTACCTATAATAATATAGGTAGATATTATTTCATTGGTTGCATTAAAAATATGAGGAACCTTTTGAATTTGAATTTAGCCGCTAGTGATAATATCCCGTGATAAGTGGTAGGTAGAATGGTTGGTGCATTGTGATTATTTACAAACGAAACGAAACGGGTCAAGGTCAACGTGTCAACGATATCGATATCATAAACATAGATTAGAGATGCGTTCGGTCACGTATACGCATGCGTATACGGAATCGGAATCAGAATATCGATACTGATAAATATCGCAAGTATATATTTAAAATACAGTGTTTTGAAATGATTTGAAATATTTAACCTTATTCATGAACAACGCAGATGTTACTGTTACCACGCTACCTGATGTACCTACGTAATAAATCATATCAATCGAACATATTCTCTCAGTCGATATCCATCTCTAATAATTAGCGCATGACAGTGACAGCGCAGCTCAATATGAATTGTGATATTTTTAGAATTTAATAATTTACATAATCCCGAACATTTTTTATACTAATTCCAGAAATCGTCTTCAGCTGCAGTGAATTTTGCAGTATTAACTATATTTGTTTTACGTTTCGGCTAATAATTAATGTTTCATTGGTTGCATAAGCATCGGTATTTACATGTGTATACTTCATATCATTGACACTATTGACAGTTTTATTTACCAAGGTAAAATTTCTTTATCATTTTTTACCTAGGTTAAAAAAGTGTCACTTCTCATCGAAGTAAATGCTTGAATAATGGTGATTTCTCAGGTTAGTAGTGGAAAAAGGTATTTTATATTTAATCTAAGTAATTTTTTTTTCAATTATTCGGCGAATAATGATGCATCATATTCCTATTTAGATCATCATCTGTACTCAATAATAAATTTCATTTCTTGAATGGCGTGACAAGAAGAATATGTAACATTCTTCAAAAAGATCCTCGTATTTCGATAGAAAATAACACGTTGCCCCACCTGACGGCAACAACTTGAATACTTCTGAGCGGTTTGTTTTGATAATATGATCATTGACTGACCAATAGGCACAAACTAAAAACGAATGTGAACCAATAAAAACAAAGTAAACAGGCCGCTTTGAAAGCTTTCAAGAACTCCGATAGGTAGCGTATATAGGTACTCTTATTTTCTATCGCGAATAGATAGATATGAAAAAAAGTATTTTTGGCAGATATATGGACAAAATTGAAATTTTCTTCTTCTGTTGTTCTTTTTCCCCTGTCAACTGGCGCCCCCATCCTGAAATTTGAGAAGTGTCTAAATCTTTCGAACCATTCTCATCACGTGATATGTTAAGATTCGTGGTTTTTGATGATTATTTTTCGCAATAAAATTGTGGAGGCTAAGTTTGGTCAGGGAGTTCCATTCTGGTCCACGAAAAGCATGGCGTAAGCCCACTGTGATCATTTGTATAGTGATTTAGGCTTTCAAAAATGTTTTTCCTTCTTCTCGAGACCCCGAGGGTCTCATTAATAATTCTGTTTTTCTATGAGCCAATGCGCATGCGTCCATAATGTATCACGTGATTCACTGTGACCATCTGTGACCAATCTGACGATGAGGTTTGGATGGTTCGAAAACTTTAGGCTCTCGTAAAATTTGAAATGGATCTTGCCTCCGCGTTTTACTGTTCTGCATACGATTACGTACGTGCAAGAAGCACGACTCCTCTTATTGGGTTCACTCTACTTAATTATTCTTTTTTTTTAGGTGAAATGGCCCCAAAATACAAACCGTTATTGCTGAATACGTTTTTAGTCGGTGCGAAGGAGGATGACGATCTAATGAGAGCATCAAGTTTGTCGAACTTGGGTGAAATTTGTAGAGCGCTCGGATACAAATTGGGTACAATTGTTACAGAGGTATGCAGGTTATAAGTGGTCATTTTACGCCCAGTTAGAATGTCGTTATAGAATTTTTCTCAATTCGATTCATTATTGCGATTCAGAAGATTGTTTATGACCATTATTATCTCTAGGTGCTTACCTATCTCAATACTCATTTGATATAAAGTAGATTAAATCTGAACGACTTGAAGACAATCAACGCTTCCAATTCCATTTGCCTTATTTATAACGGTAACCAATGAGTACAGGTGAGATTAATCTTTGGTATTAGTCCACTGTTTCTCAAAGTCAAGTATTAAATACTAAATGATACACAAAGTCATCTCCACGACATTTGATGTGATTAACACATCAGAAATTGGTACATGTTCCGGACATATATATGTCAATCATCAGCACATATATCCTATAAATTCATCATCAGCCTTACATCAGAAATTACATAATTGTCCTGAAATTGAAGCAACGGATTAGTACAATCTACAAGAGTAATGATGGGGACCTTTTTATCCCCATGTGAGCAATCTTATTCTCATTACTCTTGTAGATTGTAATAATCACTTACTTCAATTCCAGGACAATTATGTAATTTCTGATGTGAGGCTGATGATGAACATACATATGTCCGAAACATGTACCAATTTTCGATGTGTTAATCACATTTAATGTCGTGGAAATGACTTTGTGTATCATTCGGTATTCAATAGGTGGGATTATTTTACAATTCTTTTTGAATTTCGAAATACAAGAGGTGGCCCCGAAGTTGGGTCATTTTTATTTCAATAGGGGGCAGATGATGTACAGCATCTATCAGTCAATCAATTCATTTGTCCAAGAAGAGTACTCATCGACATCGATTGGTGGCATATGCTAGGGATATGTTCTTTATATATACATAGAATATATGCTTTCCAATCATAACTGGAATGGAATATCCATACATGATATGTAATTGATGGCGTAAATGATAAAAACCAACGTACAGGATGTATAGGTATTTAGGATACTTGAGGCTTGCTCTTTATATATCATATATGATTTCCTTCTTCTCTTGATCGGTAGCGGTGATAAATTCAACAGGATCTGCAAAGGAAATACATGAAATGCATACGTGAATATGAGAACTGATATTGAATCCAATCACCTTTGCTTGTCAACATCTCAGTTAATCACAGCTGATTTCAATCGATTGTTTATATTTCTTTGTCACGTTCAAATATCTCAAAGAACACAAACATTTCCTGGGAGATTTTCCATCTAACAAATGGGTAAAAAAAATTAGGTACACCTCACACGACCGATAGATGATTGCACTCTGTATATTGGTACATTTACTCTAACTTTACATAGGTAGGGGAGAACCGCCTAACTAGGCTTAGTTCCCAAGTAGGCATAAACGCCATATTTCCCCTTCCATCGGATATTTTGAAGAGCTGTACTGTCGGCATAACGAATGTTTTTATAGCTGCCCTCTAAATGTTGAAGGGTGTATGTGGCCTCTATAAATTTTTACGAGAATAATCTATAATTGGTGAGTACTCCATAAAGGTTCAATAACCATTACCTTGCACTCCATATGATGCATTGAATATTGCATACAAGATTAGCGTATAGAAAAAAAAAAATAATTCTAAGATTATCCAATTTCCGCATGTCGGCATACCTAACATTGACCTTTGATGGCATAGTATGTCAGTCAACTATCTCTCATGGAAATGTAATTGCCTGAATAATTATGCATTATAGAAAATTGAGTATTCCATCATAGAAAATTGAGTATGTCATCATAGGAAATCAAGTATGCTATCAAATGATATCATCATATCAAGTACCTATGATGGTTAAAAATATGTTTTCGTTTTTCAGAGGTAGTTCTCCCCTACTCCATTTCAAACTTGCTTTCTTCAGTGCGTAAGCGATTGGCAGTCTAGCTGATCAGATATTGCGAAGGCAGAGTGTTTGAGAATCTGTTGTTTCAATTTCAGGTATTATCATGTGTGAATGCCATAATAGCAACCGACAAGTCTCCCCAAGCCCGACGCGCGGCTGTCACAGTGATCAGACAGCTCTTCGTCGGGCTCGAATCGGAAATGCTCGCTTTCCTGAAGGAGGACATCTTGCCCATCTACAGAACTCTCAAGGCCGTTTACAACGACGATAAGGACGAAGTTATGCGGCTGCAGGCGCAACTCGCCTTGGAAGAGCTGAACGAGAACATGAAGAGTTTGGTGTTCGCCAAGCCGCAGTTGCATACGGAGAAGAATATTGTTATGTTGAATTGAAAACTGGTATTCTCAGTTTGAGTAAAATACTTTTCACATAACTGTATTGTTTGTATTGTATTTCCACTCAGAGTCAAATTTCGTGCGAATCATGTTATTACCCAGATAGCACAAATAGTTCTGAGAATATTCAGAAAACCTTTCAAGCAAATATCCCATGGACATTTCTTCAGATTATTTTGTGGATATTTCGGGAATATCTGAATATTTTCAGAATAACTCGGGAATATTCTTTCAGAATAAATTGTGATCATCCTCAATAGTAGATCCTGATTTTGTAGTGGTTTTGAAAAGTCGCCCTAGGTACGGTTCCGCTGAGCCTCAGCTGGACAGGGGGTCCCTTGTTTGGTACACCGATGGTTCGAAAACGGAAGAAGGGGTAGGCGCGGGTGTATATGGCTTAGATGTAGGCTATCTGAAGCCTTAGGTCACTCCTCTACTATCTTTCAAGCTGAAATACATGCCATCAACCTATGTGCCCAAAGGTGCCTGAGCAAAGGTCTGAAGGGTGCCAACATATATGTATATCTGCTCAGACAGCCAAGCCGTACTAAAAGCCCTAAAAACATTTGTTTCCACATCAAAGATCACATGGGTTTGCTTTGAAACACTCATGCAACTGGAAAACGACAACAAAGTCACACTTATGTGGGTTCCAGGGCATAAAGGAATCAAAGGAAATGCAGCATATGCACTCTTTGGTTCTGAGACATTTTGTGGAACCAGCAAATGTCACCTAAAGGGAGAACTCAGGAAATGGGATGAAATTGAAAAGTCCTACTACTGGAGAGCAACTCCAGGTCAACGACAAGCGAAAAGGTTCATCAACCATTCGCAGAATCGAGCCAAATAGCTACTCAGCCTCAGCAAACCAGAGCTAAAGCTTATCACAGGCTTTCTCACAAGACAGTGCCCTCTGAGGTACCACCTCAAAAAGATGGGCCTGGCGGAGACTGACACTTGCCACCTTTGCAACAAGGCGACCGAAAACGCGGAACACATACTTTGCTCATTAAAGTATTAGTTCGCCATAGGCTAAATCACCTAGAACAATCTATCTCAAACCTGCTGGGGTGGAAAATTCAACCGTCAGGAAAATTCTAGGCTTCATCAGAAGTCAAGGGTTAAAGGACCAAAACTAGACAAGGGTAATCACAATAGATCTTCTAGGTCGCAGTGATCGAGAGGTCTCCCATAGCCTATATACGACCCATCTACAATCTACAATCCTCAATAGTATGTATATTCTGAGAATATATTTCAATATTAATCTATGTATGATTAGTTTCGATAACCTTATAACATATTGAGAAAAATATTCTGGGAATATTATTCATGACAAATTTATTCAGGATGAGTTTGACAAGTTAGAATGATTCAGGAATGATTTCTTACAATAATTTGTGAACATTCTCAATAGTAGAACGTAGAACGCATGCATAAAACGAATGATAAAAATGAGAAGATGGCGTCAACGTCAACACCATCAGTCAGGTTCAGGTCTTCGAGTTTATTGAGTTCTGTGGTTCAGTCAGACTTTGTTGCGTAGATACATTCTGAACTTTTCGAGATCTTCGACTGTAGTGCAGTGGAATCATTGCGGATACCATCTATAAACTGATGATGAACTTCGATCTCGACTTCCAACAATATGATGTTTTGTGCGTGTCAGCGGAGTGAAGGCAAGTATATGGTTTTCATTTCATGTTCAATCGCTTGTAGTTAAAAACATAGATAACTGTCTACATAATTTGACTTTTATGCTAAGTAGGGCCAGGTAGCCGTGCGGACAGAGTGTCTATATTCTAATCCGCATTCGCTTGCCGGTCGTGGGTTCGATCCCCATTGACTGCAGACATTTTTCTGATCGCCCAAGAAAGTGTTTGGGATCACACGTTAAATGGTAAGGCCCCCGTCATTCCTTGCTCGCACAAGACTCTCGAAGACTTCTGAGGGTTGCTCGTGAGGGGGCAACCGAATGACGGATAAAACAATTTTTTTTTTAGTTTCGATAGCTATATATAGTTGTTGGCAGTGTGTGTGTTTATGGTAGTGTTTTCATAATATGTCATTGAATATTATATACAGATGCAATGCAGTGAAAATAATACGAAAAAGGAATACCAATTGGGAATCACAGAACTGGAGGAATGGAGGAATTAGGCAAAGTATCAGTGGTGAAGTTGCTGATAAGATTTTCCAAAATGCATTTTGTTTTTGTGATACCTATTCTATCACCTTCTCTAGGTTAATCTGAGCATGTTTTGTGAGTTCAATCTGAAATTATTCTGTTAACATTTCCAAGATAAGGATTTATACTAGATTTGTTCCAGGAATATATCGAGGAATATAGTTTAGTTGATTTTTCGGCAGACTAACCTTTAAAAATTTGGAAAATATTCTGGTCATCATTCTGAAAATGTTCTCAGACTCAGACTCAGAGATATATTTTTATGTGGATATTCATAGAATAACTGCATATTGTCGAGGAATATTCTGAAGATAACTAATGAATATTTTTGTGCTATCTGGGTATTGAGAAATAAATTTGCTAAAAGTTTTGAACCATGGAGCCCTGTACCTATTGGTATCTCGAAAACTATTAACTTCTGGTGCTTTGTACTAAGGTGAGCTGGACACTCATATCTCAACCTAATGTTTACCTTTGGTTCACGTATACTATAGACCTTAATTATTTAGACCCATAGATGTAGATCTGGAGGATATGCAACATTATTCTATAAATGTTTTGTGCCAATGGCTCCTGAGAAAGACAATATCAATCTTACCTCTCAGTCAACCAAATAAGCTTCCTTTGTATTGGCAACGCCGATATGTTGATAGGTACACATCGCGGTTTGTATATTGTCTATAGATTCTGCACAAATGACACTATCACGAACCATCTCTTGGTGGATTCCACAAATGATTTATGAAAATCACGAGAAAAATGTGAATTACCCTTTGAAACGATGAACCACTTTTGTGGCAACACCGCTACGTATTGGCTACGAAAGATGCCGGAGCTGTCAGAGTGCATATTGTTCCCCGAGCAAGGAATCCCTATGATGCAACATAATGGAATAGTTTATGATTGAAATTCGATGTTTTTTTTTACATATCTTCATCAGGTTGTCGTTATACAGTTTGTGTGTCCATAATGATTACAAAAATCTTTCGAGTGGACCAAAATCAACCATTATTTGATAACATGTTTGAATGTTAACAAATCTTTTCCCATTGGATATAGGTATGGGTATGTACTCTGGTGCCAGTCTCAAAAATCCTCACAAAACCATGCACGAAAAATATAACTTTTCGTCTTAAATTTCAACATGTTCTAAGAAGGTCTATACATAAATCGTGATAGGGAAGTACATAGGTTGGTATTCCTACCTACGGTTCAAAATATCTTGGAAAAAAAATTCTCAGTGTCAATCGAAATTACTTTATTTTAATCTTTATGAGTCATTATCTCATCCTACAAAAATATATCACTGATTGAATAAATATATATATAGCAGTCAATTGCATACTATACCCGGTGTTTAATACGATTGCGACATCAGACGAGACATTTCAGTTCATTCGCAAAGTTGAACACCTGGTATATCACAGCAATACGCAATTGTTAAGCGATTTTAACAATAAATAAGTACCATCGAGGGAAGTTCTTCTCTCGTCAGGAAAATAAATAGTCAGGAAAATCAGAGTATTTGATGAGAAAACTCAGTACAAATAGATCTATCAGTGAATTGGAGGAAGAAATGTAGAGGAAATGGATGATGGTAAAGTTATTGTCCAGATATATCCGGATTATGAACAACTGATAAGGTACTGGAAAATTATTTTGGTATCAAGTTATTCCATGCATTATTTGTTGCATATTATTCAAGATTCATTATTTCTTCAAATAATCAATGGCTGAAGCATAGCAAAAACTGTACAGTATACATGCAGCTCAATTATTACGAAATATACTTAGATGACATGAAAAGGTGAGACAGAAATGATATGAAACTAAAATTACAAAGCTTCGAGTAAATGTAAGGAAATCTCAAAATAACTGAGACTATTTTTACAGGTTCCGTGGTTCCAACCAATCATATCATTATTGGTGGACTGCTACTGCTTGATGTTTTATTCCTCGCTTTGTCTTTGTCCCCTATTTCCACTTCAGTCACTGTACTACAACTACTAGTTGATAAGTCGGAAGCTATCGATACATTATCTAATTCGTCGATGAATTTTCTCCCAGCTAATCTCAATGCTAAGGCTGCTATTCCAATGACACCAGCTATTACTAGCATGGTGATGACGAAAATAGGTACTATGTTGTTCTTGTAGGAAACAGGAGTTTTAACATTGGCGTTTTCTTCTTTCACTGAAAAAATCAAATAAACGTATAAAAGTCAAGGTTCGTTGGGTTTCATATTCTTCAGGTAATGTTTAGAATCTTGTAATCAAAATCACAAACTAAATATAAAGCGTTTTTTGTGTTTCATTGTGCATGATAATTAATAGGTTCCTTCCTTCTTGTTTATAGACTAGGAGATAGTGACAGGTGACGTTCTCCCATTTTACACTGCATTACTTTTTAAGACTTGATAATTAACCCTAAAATAGGAAAAATAGACGGGTTCCTGGCCGCCATACGTGTGTACTTCATAAGGAAATGCGCTTTCCTTTTTGTGAAGTATTTTTTGTGTTTTCCGTTGTATTATACTGCCTGCCGCTGTAATAAACGGAAGTTGAAACAAACTGAAGCGCAAATAATCAACGGCGGCGGGAAAAATGACTCAAAAGGGTAACGAAAAACTGAAAGAAATTGAAGGGTACTTTCGTGTTTCCAAATTGCATGCCGATGTGAAGAATTGAATTTTTAGCAACAAAAGCACTCTGGAAAATTTGGCATGCGCCCCTCGTTTGACCAACGTTGGAAAGTTTCGGGAAAACTGTAAAAATTCAATACAGCTATATACGACATAGCCACAATGCTCAAAGTGGAATGAAATGTTGAAAAAATACAAAAAGCTCGA